ATTTGCTTTTTTAAATCCGTGCTGAGCTCCTCAGACTTTCCAACTGTAGTGTTTGTGGAAGACTCTAATGAGTTTATCAAATAGACCCTAATTAAATTGGTTCAGAGAATTTAGCAGCTATCGTCAATTGTCATCAGAAGTTAAGATGTCATGCCACTAAGAACATTTGACTAGCACGGTTTTCTACATCACCAAAACGGATATTTCACGTTGCTGTATGCATGTTTTTGACCCAGCAGGTTTTGTCATTTTTCCAGAAGCTATATGATAAATCTCTGAAAAAAACAAAAATGTGGGTTTGTTTTTGTTCCAAAGCATCTATGATGGAATGTTTCAGTGACTTCATCATAGAAGATTACCGGCTGTATGAGTCATTGGAAACTTAAGACTGTCAAGCTTCTAAGTGTGTGTAAACTTTTGTTCACAACTGTAACTGCAGGACTGGAGGAGACAAACTGTTCAATCTTGATCAAGTGATTTCCCAGTAAACAGAGGAGTGCACCTATTTCTGCTGTACATATTCAGCTATAGTTAACCTGATTAATAAAGTAACACAGTTATGAATGACAGGTTCCCTGCTATTTAGTTCATTGAAAAATTAACAAATGCTTTTGAAAACACTTCCAAGCCTTAGGTACAGTGCCTGAGCCAAATGAACGGACAAAACTATGCTGAAGTTCTCTATCGCTCTGGAGAGAAAGAACACTGTATTATGTAAAATATTACACGATCATTTACAAGTGTTTTCAGTTTTTTTATCGTGCTTCTCTCAGTCACTCAGCACTAAACGTGTTTGTAAAGCCCAGTTTGACTTAACAGGAGTTTCTGAAAGCTTCTGGTACATGTTTGTCTGTCATGGAGGAAATAAATCCAGCTGTTGTCTGTATGCCAGCTGTTTGCCACAATCTGCAGGTGAAGCAGGAAGCTTCTGGTTAATTGTGTTGGTGGAGTGTTGAGTTTCAGGTTTGTCACGCAATCTGCAGGTGGAGCCGGTGGCTGCAGGATTGTGGCCGGAGCTGTTGGTGGAGATTTGAGCTGCTGTTTTCGACTTAGAGGCAGCAAATGCAGAACTCTAGCAGAAGATGGAGGTTAATTGATGTAACTCTTCTTGTTGACGTCCATAAGTGGAGGCTGGTGTACAAGAAGGTTTAACACAAAGCGATGTTAACCTGAAACATCCACATTTCATTGAGATACAGTCAACTGAGGATAAATGTAAAACTAACCAAAGAAGCGAGTTGATGTTATTTTAATTCCTGCTGCAGTTTATTCCAGCTGAGCAGAGCCAGGTATTTAAAAGCTTTTTTTTTTCTACTGAGCTCTGTTTTGAATTGCAGAATGAGATTCTCCTGAGAACTAGAGGAGCAACAAGATTGCCTCAACTGCACTTAAACAAAAAAAACATTTCTTTACTCTTAGAAGTATGTTATGAATAAATAATGAGTGATGCAGGTCTCAGACAGACAAGGTCAATACACTCCTGCACAAGTCACAGTGACAAGTTTAAAGCCACTTTTAAATTCTGATGCTAATCTGACAGCAGTGTGATGCCAACATGTGTAGAGTGAAGTGTAACTATCACCACAGGGCAACACAAGCAGGACTTTTTGCCTGGACTGATTGTTAAACAAATATTCAGCTTTCATTTTCAGCACTTTCATATGCACTTATTTGAACAGTCTATGGGGGAAATGTGTATGGGCTTCACATGGAGTATACATGTGAAATGTTAACACTTTTTATAGACACTGACTGTAGTTATGTTCTACTACTGTGATCTGTGCCACATGGGAACACAATGTCAAAGCTGAGTCACTTTAACCAGCCAGCCTAAACATGCTCTAACATGTTCTATTCATCGCTGGAGATGAGCAACTTTGGGCTGCTGGATCAGACAGAAGCTCTGAGGTGGATCCAGCAGCACATTTACAACTTTAGAGACACAGATTTAGTCACCAGATCTGGGGAGTCTGCTCATGGAGTGAGTGCATCTCTCCTGGTAGGAATCAATCTGCAGACAAATTACACTACATACATTTGTTTGGTTTATTTTGCAGGTATGTCAGTGCAAAGTTAATTTTATCTACTTTTTTGTTATTTGAATCAGCAGCTCCTCTCACCATTGTCTGATGGCCTCTTCCATCACACCACTACTGGCATTTAGTTTTGTTAATTAAAATATTAAGACCAACTCAGTCAAGAATACACAGCAGTTTTAAACCTGTATCAGTTTTATTAAGAAAATTGGAAGATGCTAGGTTGATCCTGATTGGCTGGTGAGTGACATTACAGTTCATCTCTGGATGTGTCGTTTGCAGTTACATTGTCAGGCTCATCAGCCTCCTGCAAGATAGAAAAAGTAAAGTGAGAGCTGAGAGTGGAGTTTGTTTTTTTTAAGAAGGAAAATATTCAAAGCAGCAGCAAAAACACAAACCTCGCTATCGTCATCACCATCCACCTCTTCCTCATCTTCGTCATCTTCATCCTCATCACTCTTCTCCTCAGGCAACATGCCGCCGGCATCCAGGAACTTAGAAAACGTCTCCAGATCCCTGAGTGCACTGTAATCAATCACCTGAGAGAAAAGCAAAGAGTAGAGAAGAGGTCTATAATCTCTACAGTTTGTGTGGTTTGATATGAGTGTGTGTTTATGTGTGTGTTTCTGTGTGCACCTCTTTGTCACCAGCTGGGTAATACTTGATTGTTGGAAATCCATCAACCTTTAAAGACTCTACTTCGTTGGCTGTGGCGTCCATCTTGGCTATGATGATGTCTTCGTGGTCGGCGTATTTCTCACCCAGCTGTTCCCAGATGGGAGCCAGTTGCTTGCAGTGTCCACACCATGGGGCGTCTGCAGACAGAGTGCAGTGTTAAGGGAGGTCACTGATAGACCTCGGAACGGCTCTGTTCCATTTCAAAGATTTCAACACAGTTTCTGCAACCTATTCTAATCTTCCAGCACACCGACAACTCCTATTTGGTCAAAGCTGCTGGCGTCTCAGAGATACAATCAATGTGTCCTTTGGCGTTGGTGCCACCCATGTCAGCATTCTATTCCAATAGAGGTAAAGGAGTTTTTAAAGTTTAAAAGAGCTTAATAAGGAGATTAGAGGAGTGGGGGCAGTGGTCGTCATTGACTTATGACTTATGTCCTTTCAATTTATTTTGTGATTTTCGTCTTCTGTTCACTCATTGGTTACTTTCCTTTTCATTGAGTGTTTTGTAAATGTTACACACCCCGACTACATGAAATAGTTTAGGCACCAAGGTGTAGGTTAGGGTCATGGTTTGGGTAAAATACACCTTTTCATAACATGAAACACGTTACAAGACAAACTTCTTGTTACGAAACTGATTCATAAAAACAAACATAGATAAGCTAAACTTCTTGGTTGAAAAAGAATGATGTAATAATTACACAAACTTATCTGACCAATTTCCTGGTTCAGCACTGACCTACTGTTTGGATTTAGATGCTACTTATCTAAGCTACGTAGCTCAACTGTCTTACTAACCACCTGACTCTATCAGAATTCACAGTAGTGATGTAGTCACGTTTCACATCTCAAAAATGACTTGAATATTATCATAACTAAAAGAAATGATGGTAAATTGTTATTAAGGACAGTAATCCTTAAAAATACAGGAAGAAACACAAATGTAAATCTTTGAAATGAAACAGAAGCCTGATTGAAATGTATGCTGTGAAGTATGTTCATAAGACTGCAGTCAGATTAGTGTCAAACTCTAAACATACACCCTTTGGTACAGCAAAGTGTATTTTAACTGGCTGAGGAGCTCAAATGGTGATTATGTGTCCTGAGTTTACTTCACTTAAAACTTGATTGAATCTAATGATGACAGACAAGCTGATTTCACAATTTTCAGTCCATGTTTTTAAAATGTAGTCTGACTTACAAAACTCCACAAACACGTTTTTGGTTGGGTCCAAAGCAACAGACTCGAAATTCTTTCCCACCAGGACTTTAACTGGTCCTTTGTCCCAGTCCTCCGGGATGTCCTCAGACTTGTAGTAGGGCTGCAGCACACAACAGGACAAGGTACCAGGTTTAATGCTGCTGTGCTAGTATGAAATGTTTGCATGTGTAACTGTGTGTGTGTGTGGGTTACCTTGGCAGTGCCATCCACGACTTCTTGGCATAACTTTCGCAAGGAATCTACTGTCAGATCCCCAGCAGCAATGCTGAACTTCTTTCCTGTGTCCATATCGATGATGCGTACAGTGGGGGCGTCCTTCTCAGACACACCAAAGTAGTTCAGCACATGTGACAGGGATTCTGTCACATCAATCACAACGAATAGCATCTGCAGAACACACAGAGAAAAACACCTCTTAAGTGTGTTTGAACAATCTGATTTGAGTCCATTTTTGATGCTTCTTAACCTTTTTGATATCTGGCAGTAAATGGATTTACTGAGGCTTCATACAGTTTAAATGGAAAATTTGATACGATAAATATGGTGTCTACAAAATACCACCACATTTATGACATCCAGACAAGGATGGGCCCTTATTTCATCATTACACAGAATGTTTCACCGTTTACTTTCATATCATTTAAATGAATACAGTATGAGATAAAGCAAGTATCATAATGTCAATAAACCAAGTAAGTCTCATTGTATATTGTTGCTGTTCTGATTTAGGAATATTGTAATTATTTCCCTCTATTAAAAAAGCTTCAGTTTGAACTCTATTGAAGCCTCTTCACTAAAAATATAAAAACACTGCAGCAGGTTCAAGCTTTGTCTTTGTTAATGGTTTAAATTTGTTGAGTTTTGTTGTGCTCTGAAAACGACATTTTAAAGCTCAAATGTAGATTAAAGTTGGGCCTGTACATTCTGATACAAAAAGAGAAATTTAAATTCTGTCTAAAGACACTGATTCTCTCAGTAAGTGGTACGTTAAAAGCCCTTTTACAGTCTCAAAACACCCAATGGCAGCAAGCCAGTCAAAGAATAGAGGAGTGTGTAAACAATGCATGTGAATGGGTCGTTGGAATACCTGCTCTGGTCTGCAGTGGCACTGCTGAGTGCACAAACTAACACTCACACACCTGCCGGACCAATCATGGAAAAAATTTAAAACTTCACCCAAAGGTTCCAGACATCCTTTTAGGATTTTAACATGATTCAAATCATGACCAACAGAGGACTAGAAAAATGACACCTGTTGGCTTGACGGGCCCCGAGTGAAAATATGTCACGATGCAGAGGTCCACTGTTGGATTAATATGTAAGTAGCATAGATTGTATAAAAGATGGACGTAGCTACCGTGACGTCACCCGTTGGTTTCTGCACTGAGAAAATGAAGCCAGGGTTTTGCTACTTCCTGGTTGACATCTTGGATTTTTGGAGCCAGTGAGGCAAAAATCATCAGAGGGGGGCGGAGCCATAGGAGCAGCGATTGGTCAGATGAATTGAGAGGCGGGCCCTCTCTGCCCGCCCACATTTACCGCCTTCTGCTGGCTTCATCTGTATGGTCGCTGCTGACTGCCAATCAAGCCAGCCACGCCCCTTGCTCCGCAAAATTTTGATGATTTTTAAAAAATTCAGTATTGATTTATTTTCAGATTGGCCACCTGATCTCTGAATTTGACTATGAACACTAATAAGAAAAAAATCCTGAGCTGTAGGAATGCGGTATTTCATGATCTGTGATCACTTCTTTTCCAATTCAAGTCTATGTGAGCCAGCAGCTGGCGGACGCAGGTTTTTGACACTTCCGGGTTGGCTTCATTTTTCATCTTTTATACAGTCTATGGTAAGTAGACACACCTGCTACACACATACACACAGCAGGCCATTACCTTGCCCTTGAACTCCTTGGCTACCGTCCTGGACTCGTCCACCAGGCCCTTCTGACTCTCCACTGTAGAGTTGATGAACAGCAGGCTGTGCTGGTGGATGCTGGAGGTAAAAATCTTTTCTGCTGTCTGAAAATACACACACACACACACACACACACACACACACACACACACACACGCAGCAGTATAATTTCAAAATTATTGCACATTAGAATTTCATTATGTAGTCATGTGTCCTTGTGTGTGTTACCTCCTGGCTGAAAGGGATCATCAGCTCCAGGCTGTTCTGCTTAATGAAGGTGGTCAGATTGCTTTTGTCCAGCGTCCCGTCTTCTGACAAGGCAAAATCTGCCCTGCCGTCATCAAACTAGCAAACACACACACAGATAATTCTTTAACTATGCCAACTTTGGCAGCCCTTAATCCTAATGCACTGATCCATTCTAGTTTTGACAACTAGCAGAAAGTTATTTTCTTGAGTACAAATAGCGAACCATTGCTGCTTTCAGCTTCTCAGATGTAAGGAGCTGCTGCTTCTCTTTGCTTTATTTCACTGTAACATCAATATCTTTGTATTTGGACTGATGTTAAACTCTTCAGCTCTGAGAAAATTGCCTTGTTTATGCTTTCACTGACCCTAGATGTTCAAAAAAATAGGTTTTAGCTCCATATGGGACTTGGACATTCATCACTTTGTGGTGATTTTGTGTGTTTTGTCGCTGTCTGTGGTGTCTTTTATGTTGTTTTTTCTATCCTTGTGGTCGGTTTGCTTCTCGGCCAGCTAAATTGCATCTATTTGAGGTCAGGTTGTCTCTTTGTGGCTGTTTGATAACAAAACTTATAGCACTTCAAATAGCTGCACATACAGTAAACCTTCTATGAATGTAAGTAAGACTGAAGCATGACAACGGAAAAAAAAACAAAACTAAAAATTAATGTCACTTATTTTTCACTGAAGTCGTAGGGGTTGTCCAGGTAACTGTGAGGGGCCTTTTTTCTCTATTATGACATTTGTATGACAGTTACGTAGTTCATTTATTATTGAAAAGCATCAGCGTAATCTATCATCAAAATAATTGTGACAGTATTTGCACACATAATGGGCTCATGGCCTGTCGTCACTTTGTTCCCATTCTGAACTGAACCTGAAATCTAAACTGCAACATTAGAAAACTTTTTAAAATAACTACAACTCATTACAAACTATGACTGTATTTGGACCTCAAACAGAGACATGCATTGTCTGTGGGCACTAGATGGCAGCAAAGCTAACATCATCAAGGCTTCTTGTATGTCTGTGATCCTCCTACCTTCTTGAAAAGCACCACCGAGCTGCCTTTCACCTCATACTTCTGGAAAACCTCAGGAGTGGCTGTGAGGGCGAACTCTGTGTCAGTCATTTCCAACGTGACCTCCTTGAACACCTTGGCTGCCTCGCTCTCCAGACTCTGCAGGAGCGAACAAGAGCAAAACGATGAACAGAAACGTACGGATGACTGCATGATGTGATGACAAAACTGGAAGGATTAAACAGGAAAACCTACATCAAAGAATCCTACAACAGTGACGTTGTGGGAGTCAATGAACTGAGCCGCGGAGTCTACAGAGTCCAGAGCTGGAGCTCCGGGGCCTGTACGGCGCTTCATCCACTGCATTATTCCCTTGACTGTCCTCTTACCTGGAAAAACACATCAAGTCAAGTTTCAAGTGCTTCAACATGTAAAGATGTAACATTAAAAAAGTGGTTAAACACCTTGTAAAAATATGATTCAGACAAACAAGGTGAATGATGGAAGGAACGGTAGGTCAAACAAACACTTTAGTCCAAGTGTTGTTGTTGAGATGCTGCTAGATGGTTTTAACTTGGTGAACTTATGACATTAGTGGGTTTGTTATCAGGTAAGTGCAAACTTCACAACATTGTCAGGCATTATAAAAACATTTTGTAAATTATTACAGGATAGCATTTTCATACATGTTAAATATAATGACTACAATCAGTTGTGCCAAGATTTGCTTTTACCAGATCTATTAGTTGATGTTTTTTGAACGGTAAGTACTCTCTAGCTGCCATTGTTTGGTCTGAGCATCACCATTGCTGTTAACTGCTGTTTAATTCATCTGTCAGTTTCTCCAGTTTCTTATTAGATCTTTATTTCTAAATAGTGACAAAAATGTTCTGCACATCAACTGCATTTACATCCTAGAAACTCCTCTATTGTCCAAAATGTTGAATTTGTGAAACTGGACATAAGTGTGCTACAGATGAACAGGTAAGATAAACACACACACATATGGGCTCAGATGGTTTTGTTCGGCCGACTGTGTGTGTGTGTTTGTGTACCATTGAAGTCGACGGGCTGCTTCCGGTCTCCGTTGAGGAACAGTTTCAGAGTCGGGAAGCTTCCGACGTCAAACTCATCAGACAGCTCCTTCTCGTCGATGGCGTCCACTTTGGCCAGACGCAGCGGTGGATCCTCCTTCTTCAGCTTCTCAGCAGCTTCGGCATAAATTGGCTCCAGCTCTCTACAGTGGCCACACCAGGGAGCATCTACACACAAACACACAGACACGGGCGGTTTATATCTTTATCCAGCAGGGGTTACAATGCAAAACAGAAGCTGAAAACTGAGGGGTTTTTTATCCAAAGCGAGCCTGTGCTCTGTTGCTATCAGCAGCTCCTGTGCAGATACACATGGAAATAAGCTGCTGATAGCGCCAGCAGCAGTTGGCCTCCGCCTTCATCTCTCTTTGCTGTTTTCCTTGTTGTGACCTCTTCGGCCGTAACGCTGAGGTCAACGGTGGGAGAGTTGGAGCAGGACGACATCTGGACAGGACGGGACACGTGGGTGCACATTTATGTTCAGCGCTCGATGCCCTCAAGGAATCTTAGAAAACTTAGATGAGACATTTTATACTTGGCTTTCCAAATTTCATGACCTTATTTGGCTAAATTTTGATTTTCTTCCCCCCGTGTGCATGTTCCTAAGAAAAACTTATTTTACATGTTAGCCATTGTATTCATACATTACATCTGTACGTGTTCATCAGGAAACACAAATGTGACACCTTTTAACACAGAACCTGCCCCCGTTAGTTGTTCTTAGATAAACATATGTTGTCACTTTGTGCTACAAAGCAACACAATGCAGAATAAATTGTCTCAAGGAAGACAAACAGACATGAGGGAACTCTCTGTAAGGGTTTTAAAGAGCTAATTCATTATCATAAATAACTGCTGATTCATGACTACTCACAGAATTCAACCAGTAAATACTGATTCTCGCTGAGAGCTCGCTCAAAGTTGTAGATGTGGAGCACCATGACATCTTTCTCCTCCTCTATTTCTGTTGTTTTCTCCTTCTTGGGTGGCTCTGCGGTTTCCTCTGCGTCTTCTGGTGTCTCCTCTGTCGTCTCTGTCTGTTCGGAGTCGTCGGCCCGGATGCAGGAGGCCCACAGCAGCAGGCCCAGCACAGTAATGGACAAAAGCTTGCGCGTCCTCATGTCTGCGTTTGTGTCTGAGCCGCTCAGGTGTGGGCAACCTTCACTACAGGTGTCACTGACGGTTTGTACGTTTATTTATCTAAGATGAAGAGTGTGTGTCGAAATGCTACTGGCCTTCTCTCTCAGCCAATCAGAAGTTCAGCCTGTAAGTCAGTCTTTCTGGTTTCAGCCAATCAGATGGTGCCTTGTAGATTCAGATTCAGGGTAAACTAGCTGCTGTGGCTCCACAAAAGATCCCACGTACACTCACTCATGATTTTTCTCTTCTCCCTTTCTGTCTGTAGTTTCTAAATAGACCCCATCACCCACCAGATGGTAGCATTTATATACTTCCTTCAGTTTTTCACTGCCGTTTCTGGCCCTTGTCAGAACTTCATTTACCTAAAAACAGTCACAGTGATAGCAACAGGTGCATGTTTATCTAAATTGCAGCAACTGCTTTCAACTGTCGCTCCTCTCGCTCCCCAAACCTTCCATCCTCGCTGCTGTTTAACCAGAAATTTAAGTTTTTCATGAAGCATAAAATCCAAATTTCAGGGTTATTTGAAGCTAAATGCTGTCAAAGCAGTGGCGTCTACATGCAGATAGTTTGGGTTTGTTCTGGTTTCCACAGTGAATCCTCCTCAGTGGATGCTGTTTGTCCAGTTACAGTTTAAATTTTTTAAGAATTATTTTATTTATCCATCCATCCATTATCTATACACCACTTAATCCTCACTAGGGTTGCTGGGGAGCTGGAGTCTATCCCAGCTGACTTAGAGTGAAGACAGGGGACACCCTGGACAGGTCACCAGTCTATCACAGGGCTACACTTAGAGACAGACAACCAAGCACACTCACATTCACACCTACGGACAATTTAGAATCACCAATTAACCTCAACATGTTTCTGGACTGTGTGGAAGGAAGCCGGAGAACCCGGGGAGAACCCACGCTGCACAGGGAGAACATGCAAACTCCACGCAGAAAGATCCCGGGTGTCCTCACCGGGACACAAACCGGCGACCTTCTTGCTGTGAGGCAACAGTGCTCACCACTGAGTCACCTTGCAGCGCTTATTTTATTTATTTATTTTTTAAATCTGTATTGGCATAAAAGTTGAGATTAAAATGTCTGTGAAGACTCTCAGTCATCCAGCTCATGGTTATAGTTTAATTGTAGCAACTGGACTCTCTTGAGTTCCTTGAGGACGTTTCACCTCTCATCCAAGAGGCTTCATCAGTTCTGACTGACTAGTTGGGAGTTCCAGATACTTATATCCTTAAGGAGCCATTAACACCTGAGTTTCAGTTTCAACTGGGGGTTTGTTGCTCCTCCCCCTCGTTATGCGTGTCGTTAGGTCTTTTGGGCCTGGGTGTGAATGTGGTTTCATCTTCCTGGGGAGAGATCTGAGGACTGAATTGTGAACAGGTGAGAGGTGATGCCTCAGACCTCCACCTCTGCTGAGTGATGGTCTTTCCAGTTTGTTAGGGTGGACCAGCTTCTGTCTCAGAGTGTCGGTGGTTAAGGTGGTCTTTAAATTTGAATGATACAATCGACATACAAATCTTCAACCCGACAGCACATAAGTTTCTGTCTTCCTGAATGATGGTGTTGAGTCATGGACATAAAAGTGTTTTGGTAAAACATTAGGCTCTTGCAGTGAAGCTGACCTTTGACCCTTTGAATATAAAATGTCACTACATGATCTTTTTATCCTCTTTGCATTCAAGACAATTGTGTAAATTGTCATAATTAACGTATAAATTCTTGTGGTTTGAGCAAATTTTTTTTTTGAGTGACCATTAAAATTTAACCACTTAATCCTCAACTCCAATTGAACATTTGTGCCAAATTTGCAGAAATTCAATCCAGGTCTTCCTGATATGTTTTGTTCTCAAGAATGAGACAACACAAAAACATAATGCATCCGACCACAGTTATCGACAGTTCTGAGGCATAAAAATTCTATTTATTATTGATGATTTACTTAAGAATTTGAATGTCTTGACAAGAATATATTTATTTAATTGTACTGTCTTTTTAAAATGTTGGTCTGCATAGTCAATAGGTTGCAGAAAAGACCTAAATGGACCTAACCTGGTTTATAAAGTCAAAAATGTCCTTTTAATATCAGCTTTAACAACAACATGCACAAGAAATTATTAAAAATGACCAGAAAACAATGATATTTAGACATATCTACAATTTTCTGAGAGCTGGATAAACTCAGGTAAACAATGTGGAACTGAATCACAGATGTTTTTCAAAGCAAAAATTCTTGTACCTTTTTCATGATGCGAACAGAAGTCACAAATTCACATCACCTTAAAACCTGAGCACAAAACACTGTCTGCGAGACACCACAAGAGGCAAGAGATAAAGTTTTTAGGCAAACTGACACTTTAACGTAAACAGTTCATAACACGTTGGTTTGTTCCTGCTGTTCTCCTGTTTGTGAAACGTTGTGCTTGTGTGCTGTGCTTAATGCTGCATGTGTGAGTTCTCCGTCAGCGTGTGACTGAGTTCAGGGTTCGGATCCCAGTTCGCCAGCAGGTCACTGAAGTCCGGCTGAGTGGTGTCGAGGGTGTGCGTGTTGTGGTGTGTGTAGTGGATGTGTGTGTCGTCCTGTGGAGGCGCTCCGCTGTGTGAGTGTGTGGCGTCGGGTGTGCCACTGGAGCTGATCAGAGAGCAGCAGGGGATCGGTTCAGTCCAGAAGCTGAGCGGGAGATGCCTCTTGATCATTGGCTGGCTTCGGGCCTGACTCGGGCCCCTGTGGTCGAACAGTTCAGCCAGGGGCCCCAGTCCACCGTTGCCCTTAGCAACCACGACTCCTTGATCATCGGCACAAGTCACGAGGCCGTTTTCTTGCTCCTCTGGACTTCCCGCCCCGGCGATTCTCAGCAGGTCGTCATAGTAACGCAGACGTCCACTGGTCGTCATGGAGATGGAGTCGCTGTAGATGTCACAAGCTTCTTGGTCACCTGAGCAGCGACCAAAATACCGCTGGACATCACGACTGATGAGGTCGGCGAACCTCAGGAGCTGCTTGGTGACATCCAGAGCGTCGTGAGCAGGGTTCAAGAAAGCTTCTTCTAAACACTCCTCCTCCTCCTCCTGAGCCTCAGACTCCTCATCCTCCTCCTCCTCTTCCTCTTCTTCTCTGTCGTCATCATCCTCTCGGTCCTCTGGCTTTTTCTGCAGTTTCTCCTCTTCATCCTGCCTGCATGGAGAGTGCTGGAAAATCATGGGGAAGTAGGCTGGAGCCGGGGCCTGGATGAGCAGGTTCCTGATGACGCCTGTGGCCATGTTGGCTTCCAACCCTGCAGAGACCAACACAGATGAGAAGAAGCAAGAATCTGACAGGGAAAAGTGTTTGTGGGCAAGAAAAAAAAAAGTGGTAAAATTTTTAAAAAGTTTTATTACCTAGTGAGGCGCACTTCAGCTGCCAGGTCGATGTGTTCAGTCTGTGACCCAGAAACAAGCTCCGGACTGGGCCGCTGGTGGATCCACGACTGTGTGCATGTGTGTGCGTATGTAATAGGGGTCCAGCAGGACTGGCACTGTATATATACCTCAGCACTCGGCTGCAGACGTCTGCGTCTCAGGTCGGATGAGGCAGCTTCCAGAACAAATATTTGCATGCCGGATCGGTCAAACAGTCTTTGTTTACTTTATCACTGGGCAACCGGGGAGGGGGTCCGAGGCTAATGGATCCTCTGCTAGGGGATGATGGAGAGTTGTTATACACAGACACACACAAACACATCATTGCTTTTTTCCGTCCCTGTTATCAGGCTAGTTAAAGGATAAAAGAGCATGAAATCAAATCATATGCCGTTTTGACTTCTAAAGGGGAACACTATGAACTCTGATCAGCCCACCACACTGAGACACGGTACATCCTGATCACACACTCGCTCCTCTGAACACCACGCACCATGAATTGTTTTTTTGTTTTTTTTAAGTGTTACGCTGAAGGACACAACATCAGCCTCTTTCAAATGCAAATCCTGGCTTATGAAAAGATGACTAGATGTGCAGACACACCATCAGTTTCAGACAATAGATGGACACAAACTAATCAAACAAACAGCTGATGAGCAGTGAAGGAAGCAGCAGCTGCACCTACAGCGGTTTACACCTCTGCCAACATCGCTGGACCAAAAACCATTCAGTCCAAGGGAAGAATGTGAATAAATCTTAAGAAACTGATCACAGATATAAAGTTTTATAATAGAGTGCAGTAATCGCCTGGGGACTATTTTCAGCGGTGGATTAATACACAGTTAACGCTGTGTTAGTATTTATAGCAGGAGCACAGTGTGTGTGAGACTATTGAACATGTTGTCCATGATCACTGTGGGAAAAAAAAAACCAGAAACCTTTATCTGACTTTGGCTTCACAGACAACGCCTGCTACTGGGATCAATTTATTGCTGCTGGTTTTTGTGTTTTTATAGAATTTGGTAACAAAAACGTACTCTGATTGTAACACGTGCTTCCCAAACTAATGATGTAGATTGTTTTTGCTTCAGTGCCATCATTCCTTTATCCTCTTAAGCTCTTTGCCCTCTTCTTATTTGTGTCCAAGGGTACTTTTAAAAATAATAGACAACATAATGAAAAAAAAAAAAAAAAAAACTTCTTTCACATTATACAACAACAAGTCTGATTTCCTCCACGTTTTTTAAGGCCCACATTACTTGACACTAACGAGTTGACTTTCTAGAGAGTGGACTTATATATAAAGCTAATATTACTGGGGTGTAAAGAAATTTACTAAGTTATTAAGACTTTCTGAGAAATTCTAGCTTAAATCCAATCAGTTCTACAACTACTGTATCATGTCCTTATGTTCAGGAAATACATGCTGTCAGGAAGCAAAGAAAATTGAAATAAAAATCTAAACCACATTTTTTACAATATCTAAAAACTAAGTAGCCTGTACTGTATCTACCTGTTCTCACATTTGTAGATTAAAAATAAAACTTTCCATGAAATATTTAAAACAAGCCACTTTGATTTTATAGCTACATCATTTCATCAAGTTAAATATATTCAGTGTGCTGTGCATGGATTTATTTGCACTTTTCTCAACAACAAAATGACACTTAAGATCTTTGGAATCTTTAAGATCTTTGTTATAATCAGAATAGAGCTGTGAGTTTGAATAATATTGAACGGCACCATTTTTGCATGTGGACACGAAGCTTTTGGGATAAAAAGTCCGTTTACTGTAGATAGACTGGATCAGAATAAAATAAACTAAGCAAACGTGTGCCTTATTTACAACATGTAGGTGATCAAGAGACGTCAAAGTGTATCTTTTAATGAGAGTTAAATCATGAGAGTAATTATTTGATGATTTTAACACACACTAATTAAATCCTGCAGTGACGCATTTGACTGATTTTTTTTAATTTTTTACAGACAATGTACATATGTGTCTGGGCTTCTGTTTATATGTGTGTGTTGAGCATTAACGTGTGTGTGTGTGTGTGTGTGTGTGTTATCAGGACACCCTGACTCCCCTGGCCTGCCTGTCATCAGTATCCAGGCTTCTGTGTTGGTTTTAGGACTAAAGATCAATAGCAGCAATATGTCAGCTCTCAAGAGCCTGACAAAGAATTACACACGCTTTTAGGCACACAAGCACATGAACACACACACACACACACACACACACACACACACACACACAGATTTGTCATATATATACTACGATTCCTTTTATTTTATTTTATTGTACTAGAACACTGCATGCCCCTGTGTTCCCTTCTTGGAAGCTGCTGGAACTGTAAATTTCTCTTGGAGATGAATAAAGTATCTATCTATCTATCTATCTATCTATCTATCTATATATGTTAGATTTATTAGATTAAACATGACAAATTAAGAACACAATACAACTTTTTTTAAAACTATGGTGGTTAAAATATATATATATTTTTTTAAAAAAGCATTCAGAACAGTCAATAGTTTGTGATAGGAGAGATCTAAATATGCTCTAAATATTTGGGAGTTTTCCTGCATTGCATCAAACTAAATAAATGTAACGTCTTGTGTGTCAATCTGCTGCCTTTGATAAGCTGACAGGTGAAATCTTTGTAATTCTAAAGATCTTTGTTACAATTAAATAATGGCGTGAAATTGTAAGTTCACATTGTATTCTAGTAGAACATAAAAATATTTGAAATAGACTATAACAGAAATAGATGAAGTAATGTGGACAAGTCGTTTGTCCAGACTTTGCGTATTTGCATTTTTTGACATGACGAATAAGGAATATTTCTAAATTCAACTAAACGAACAATGTTATATACACCCAGTTCTTCTTAAACAGCCATCAGTGTGACCTTTTAGTGATTTATTCTGTTGGCTTATTTATTTTCAGATTTCCCTTTTGTCTTATCTGTACTTTCACACAATGTTTCCACACAAAAAACTTACCAGAACGTAAAGGTTCTGCTGCTGCTGTCATAGAGCCTGATAACACAGGACACCTTCAGATTTACTGACTTCAGTTACAGCATGTGACAGCTGTGAAAGCTGTGAAACGGTGCAATGAATCAAGGAAATATGTTTTGCTGTTGCTGATTTATTTAACGAAAAATCATTGAAGTTTCCTATAAATCATAACTGGCACAACACATGAACAAATTCTGAACAAATACTTGATTACAGATATTTTACCAAAGCAAGATCTTTACCAGACAATACTAGCAAAGAAGGACGCAAACTAAATCCCAAGTCTATAAACAAGTCTCATTTTCTTTGTTTTCATTGCCAGTCTCAGGCCTTGTCACAGCTGTTCTCAAACTTTCCCAGAATGCAGCGATGTGATTCTCATCATCAGGCCACTCCAGGTACGTCATGGAGTTCATGAGTCTCCGCAGCCTGCAGAACTTCTTGGGGATGCTTTTTTTGTCGATGGGCTCCAGCAGAATCAGAATAACCCTGTCGTCGTTTTGATCAAACAATCTAAAATGGCTGTAGTCCAGTTCGTACTTGCACCATTCGCTCCTGACAAAATGTCGAGAAAGGATGAAGATTGTTCTGTGACTCTTCTCTATGGCGTCCATGATGTTGTCCATGATTAACCCTCCAGGAACAAAGTCTCTCTTGTGGAGGCAGAGTCGGAGCGGCGGTTCAGTTTGCTCGAGCGCCAAGACCAGATGCGCCTCCACCCAGCCGGAGTCCATTTCACTGTAGGACACAAAGACATCGTACTCCAGCGCTCCCTTCTTTAACTTTGGCTTCTTCTTTGCTCTCAGCCAGGCACAGGTCATCCTCATGTACCACACAACACTGAACCGATAACACAGACCTACACAGAGCAGGACCAGGGCCAGGATGCCTGAGCAGAGTAAAGAAAAAGCTAAAGCCGCGTGACATTCAAACACCGACAACCTCACATCTGCCACCCTCCTCCCTCTCACAGCATCAGGGGAGTCGCAGATGTAGGACTTTATCTCACCTCCAACCCTGTGATTCATCAAGTCACTTGCCATGAAAGCTACCAAGTCACATGAGCAGACGTAAGGGTTGCCGCCAGCCTCCAGACGCTTCAGCAGCTTGTAATCGTGTAGATCGTTACTGCTGAATGTCTGTAAGTTGTTGTTTTTAATAGAAAAAAACATGAGAGTAGGGTATGAATGCCCAGTGGGCAAATTTCCAATCCTGTTGCCAGAGATGTGTAACTCTGTGAGCAACGGTAGGTCGATGTTGAACACAGTCAAATCATTATTGGACAGGTCAAGGATCTGCAAACTCTCTGGCAGACAGCGTGTCGCCGTTGGTAGACGATTTGAAGAAAGGTTTAAGAATTGGAGATTTGCTGGCCAGTAACAGGTCTCAGGCATACTGTACAACGCGTTTTTACTCATGTCGATGTTTTGAAGCTTTTCTAGGTTGGTGAAGAGCCGGCTGTTGATTGTCTGCAGGATGTTTTTGCTGATGTTGAACGTCTGCAGGTTCTGAAAGACACCGTTGCCGCCACACATCATTTCGTGGAACGTAAAATCACTGATAATGTTGTCACTGAGGTCCAAAAACTCAAGTTTGGTGAGCTCGGCAGAAGATTCACAAGGAATGGCAAACACATTGCAGTTTATTACAGATGCCTTTCGCACCACGTTAATCAGACGATCCATGAAATTGAGGGCTGGAAAACGGTAGAACAAGGTTACATCAATATTTTTGAAGGAAACAGCCTCCAAGTTGTCCAGGGAGAGGGGACCAACACTGACAATTGTAGGTCTTAACAAGAATTGTGCGTCTTCAAGTGCCAACATAGTCACATTGGAGTCTTGAAGTAAATTCAGAAGTTCTAAACAAGCTTCCATCGACATGTTAACGTTTTTAAAAGTAAGGCTTCTAACACCACGGTCTAAGGCCACCTTAAGAGAAAACATTTGACTCTCTGTGTTGAACAGTGTGTCGGTGACTGTCAGCATTGTGTTTGCCTGCACAGCATCTGACAGTATGGTTTGTACGAGCATTGGATTTCTCTGAAACCCACCATTTAGACCAAGTGTTACATGGCTGATAGGTCCAATTTGTCTCAAGCTTCCTTCTGCATAGACTTGCAGCTTCTTTCCATCAAAATACAACTCTTCAAGACCAAAGAGGCCACAAAAATCCAGTTTACTGACAGACTGAAGGGAAGGTCCTCCGAAATGTAGAATCTTCAGTCTCTTTAGTGGCTGGAAAAGATTGCCTTGACCCAATGTTGTATAATTGTTTCCCAAAAGATTTAAGTACTGGAGCGAAAAAAGGGTCTTAAACCACGTGGAGGACAACGCATCCAGCTGGTTTAAGGACAAGTCCAGTTTCTCCAAATTAATCAGCGGGACAAAGGCATCTTCCTGGATTGTTTTGATTCTGTTGTTATTCACAATCAAAGACCTCAAACTGGCATACGCAAGAACGTCGTCTTTCATTATTCTTTCCAGTTGGTTGAAAGAGAGATCAAGTTCTGTGATGAGCTTTGACGGGGCTGCAGGGATTTCAGTCAGGTTTTGTCTCGAGCAGTCGCAGGACGTTTGATCACAGTGGTGACACTGTGGTCGGGACGACGAGAAGGTCTGAGACACCAGCAGAAGGACAAACACCAGAGACGTCATGCTTCTTCTCCTGAGTTTCTGTAAAACACAAAAGAACAGAAAAGAATCCAACAGGCCTTTTCTTCCAGATGGTTGTGCAAAGCAGTCTGATAATGAACAAGACTTACAGCAGCTCTGTGGGGCTGTACGTTAGCACGGCAGTGCTGTGATCTTGATGCTAAAGCACCAGTGAAAATATTAAGCTGTTGGTGAAAGACAAGAGAATCATCAAAGTCAGTACAGGTCACTCTGAGGGGAACATGAATGTCCGAATCAAATGTAATGGCAATGTATTTAATAGACATTTCACCTAATAAAAAACCCTGAAACTCCATGATGATGCTAGAGGAGAAGTTGGGGGTTCACCAAAGTCTTTCATTGTCTGGATTGTCAGAAAATGTGGGGACAATCTCTTGAGAATATTTCAGTGTGAACCAAAGTGGTGGAGTGAAAAATACTGACATCCTCCAACGACTAAAAATACTAGCCAGGAAGCTGACATGGACAAAAAGTACAAATGGACACAAGTGAATCAAACCGTTGCTGTTTGACTTCCTTCCTAAAAATGATCTGGACAGCTATAGGACAGGAAGAAAAAAAAGAGCTGTGAGTTTTCTGGGAAATACAGCTGCATTTATGATTGCTTTACACAAAATAGAGCATTTTCAGAGCAGAGCGTTTGACTTGTTAAAGCACAAATTGCCAAAACATAATAATTCTGTTATGTTCAATTGTCCCCGTAAATCCTGAGCAGCTCACCCCGAGTTTGGTTTCATCTGAGGTTTGTTCCTGGTAAAAGGTAGTTGTTGTTTTTTTCTCCACAGTGACCAAGTGCTGTTCAAGAGGGAACAGTTGGGATTCTCCGTGACAATATCTAATTCCCAACATCAGTGATCTCAGCAACCTGACGTTATTTATCTTGTGAATTGAACTGAACTGTGTTGGTCACATCTATTTTCAGAAACTGACTATTCCTGACATGTACTACAGTCGTCCTCAAATGTATTCACATCCTTCCATTAAAGAAAAAGCAAAATTCACAATAGTCACTCACCTAGAAACTGAAAAAAGTAATAACAATTTTTTAAAAATTAATAAATAAAAGGGAAGGGAAAGAAAAAAGACATTGCGAATGAAGGCTGAAAAAAAAAAAAAAACAAAAAAAAAAAAACCAAAAAACAGGTCAACAAGTCCAAAAGACAGATACAGAAAAAAAGAAAACACAGGAATGCACTCAAAGGCTCAAACAACTAAATAAAAATTAATGGATCCGACCAAGCATGCTCGCCTGCCTGTGTGATATGTTAAAAAATAATACAGATGAACCACAAACCAAAAGCAAAAACAAAAGTCACAATACACAGTAAATTATTAATACATTAGTAAATTTCAAAACATCAAAGCAACACAACCGGTTTTTTCCTTCTTTAATGGGAGGCTATGAATACATTTGACAACGACTTCATGCTACAATTGTGGCCAGAATCGTGCAAACATCAAAGACGTTCGGGGGAAAAAAAGCTTGTTTAAATCCATTTCACTTAACTGTTTGCACAAATAACAATAAAACTTAATCATGAAAGTTCCCAGCTGTTTTCCAAAGCTACTGTCACTATTTCTTACTGGTCAGTCTGGTTATACTGTACGGTTACTAGAAAAATAATACTCACCTGCCAGCCAATCACAACAGAGAGTTGTCTGTTGTCACAGTGATATCAATTAATAAACATTATTTGAATTTGCATGTAATGCTAAATGTTTGCATTTCTTCTCTTTGTCTTTATTTTGTAGCAAAATAATGAATTAATTTGTGAGTTTCAAAAAGAAATTACAAAATTGTGTTTAAAAGCTTTTAAATTTATGCACTTGTTTCAATGCATCATTTAGACTATATATAATATTAAGTCAATTAATTTTTAATTAAAAAAATTTAAAAAACTCCCATTTTATCTGTAAATAAACACACAGAGTCTATTAACTGAGTATATTACACACTCTGTGAAGCAGAGAATAAAAAAATGAAGTGAAAATACCTCAATGGGTCTCGGCGTTTTACAGCTGAAGTTTTTTGTCTCTCATCGGCAAAGTCGTGTCATAACAGCAAGATGTATTCGCTAATTCCTAAGTGTTTCGTATCACTTCTCTATTTTATAGCAAAATCATTTCCCCATTTATTTTGTCCCATTAAGCGTAAAAGAAATACAACGACAGCTTCCGGGAAGAACTTTGGGACTTCATGACTGCCGGTAAGAGGACGGCTGTTAATTTGTTTGGTTTCAAAGTTCACTAGTTTGCAGATGCAGAACCAGAAACCACACAACGCGCTTCAAATGGATCAGCTCCTGCAATGAAGCCTTTTTCTGTCTGGTTGCTGCACAACTAATGGACCTTCTTTTATCTTCCATTTGATGAAAATATTTACACTCCAGTGCTTGACAAAAATGACATAAATGTTCATGTGAACAAAGACTAAATGAGTCAGATGCACTTAATAAACTAACTGAAGACTCTGAACTGCCTGTGAATGTGTTTTGTTAAAACGCTTAGAAAGATGTGGCACCAGTGAACATGTCTCTCATCCAGTGTGAGGTGGAAGAAGCTCGAGCTCCCAATTAACCGGAACTGGTAAAGCAAAACATGTTCAGTATAATAACTGATGGATGGAAAAGCCACAAACATTTGAAGAGTTCATTTGCAAAAACAGATAACTCCATATTTGCAAACCTTCAGAAAACCCACTTTTCCATCGTCTACCTGAGACAATATCAATCAAACTAAGCTGAGTGGATTTGACTCAGTAGAAATGACATGACAAAAATAGAGATAACTTAAGCTTGATTGATATTGTCTCAGGTAGAAGATGGAAAAGCGGGTTTTCTAAAGGTTTGCAAATATGGAGTTATCTGTTTTTGCAAATGAACTCTTCATTTCTTAATCATTTCCCAAGACAAACTATTTTTTTCTTCATATATTAAACAGATTGAGATCTCAGTAGCTCATCATCAGCATATTGTTGCCAACATAACAGTCTGTGATTCTAGTTAGAACTCACTTCCTACAAACATCCTTTTATATTAAAACTCTTGTTATGATCAGAGATGAGGACAACATAAAGGGGCTTACAGTAAATGGAGAACATAAAATTTCATTATATGCTGATGACGTATTGCTGTATATAACAAATTATAACACAGAGGAAGGCCTGCATTTATTTGGTGTTTGATCTGTATTAATACTTTTATGTACTTTTACATTCATTATTATTTATTTATTTAGTTAATTAATTAAAATCCTCCTTTCTATTGATTTCTCTATGTCTCTTCAATTATTCTTTATAGTTTCTTATATTTGATTCTGACAAGTGAATGTTGCTTTTGACAGAAATGAGATAAATCAAATGGAGGATTCAGTGTGTTTGGAGTTTGGCCCATAACAGGGATGAAAAGTCAGGATACGTCAGCTCCTGCAGGACCAGTTTTCTTCTTTAAACTCTGTGCTTTGTAAGCTCTTCTTTGGAAAGTGCAACACTAAATCCCCGAAGCATCCATTTAATGAACATCCCCTCTGTGTGCTCAGAGTGAGTGCAGGGAGTTGCAAGGTTACAGAACTGGTTCACTTGAATTACTTCAGGCTTTTCTGTGGCCGCAGTTCACAGCAGCACTACAGAAAAGAAAGTTTTTTATGTTGTGTTTTCATATGTTCCTGATCTGTTTTGGGCTGTATTAGCTTATTGATTTGTGTTTTATTGTGGGTTTAAGTGTTGTGTGTAGATTAGTAGGTGTATGACAAACATTTTCTATATGATCAGTTATTATGCAGCCAAATATCTGACACATACAGGTTGTGAGGTTTGTTTGGTGGCTCTCTCTGAAGACAACTCCGCGGTCTAATGTGTTTCATATTTCCAGAGAACACAACAAACCTCTGACGAGCAATTAAAGTGATCGCGCATCAGAGAGAAGCCAAAAAAGAATGAGTTCATTGTGTGACTAAAAAGAAGACTAATGTCGTCCAAGTACAAAACCTTTTTTTTTTTTTTTTTTTTTTTCTATGAATGACATTAAAAAGGCAGATGATCTAGAAAAATATACAACAAATGCTTAACCTTTCACAACATTTAACATCTGAAAATGGGAACATAAAAGAAAAGAAATATTCACATTTTCCCCAATAATGATAAAAGAACATTCATGTTTATTTCCTTTCTTTTACATGTCAATGCTTTATATGTTTGCAATTATTGTTAAGGTCTGCCGTTTGTTTTTTTTTTTTTTCTTTCTTTCTTTCTTTTTTTTTTCCTTGTCAAATTTTAAACATCTCCGCAGTAGCCGGAGTCGTTGGACAGCTGGGAGTTGGAGCTGCGGTTGGACGAAGAGTTCCATATGTCCAGGTTCATGTGCGGGCCAAAGGGGTTGAAGCTGGAGTACTGGATCGGTCCGCAGGTCCCCTCTGGCTCCCGGCTGAAGGGAGAGTGTGGAGGTGTGATGGGGGTGATGGGGGACACGGGGGACATGGGGGCTGATCGCTCGGGTTGGAAGTGGCTCTGGTACGGCTCGCTCTGGGGCGTCCAGATGGATCCAAACAGGCTGGACATGGGGGAGAGGCTGCGGGTACCCGAGAAGTATGGCTGTGGGGGAGGGAGAGAGGGAAGACTTTAGCTCCTGAGAACCTGTAGGGGCTTTAGTGTGCAGAGGAGCTTCGGTACAAACCACCGAAAAAAAACTTCCCTGTCCTTCTCTAACCTCACCTGTCACTGTGCTCGCCTACCATCTGGTCCCTGCGGTGACGCCCTGGTTGTGATTTCTCAGCTTTATAAAATTCATCCCTTCTCCTCAGCTAAAATAAAGCGACCTCTCCCCTCTAGTAAAGGCGGCAAAGTTTCTTCTCATTCTCAGAAAACCAAAAGTTATCTCTTTAAGTGTCGCAGGGACGACCAGTTGAGACGCAAGCCATGTAAGTGCAGCTTTGTGGGTCTGAACTTTCTCTCCCTACCTCTTTCGCTCCATCGCTGTCTTTACACTGTCACATTCAAAAAGCAAACCATATTAAAAATCATTTTGACGATAAAAAAAACTTTGAAGCCGACACTACTGTACCAGACTGAACCATACAAGGATCCCAAACACACACATCTGTTGTCCAAAAA